ACGATTATGTCGGGGATCTCTCGGCCACGAATGATATCCAAGATCTGTCTATATATACATGATATACCCAAATGAGATTCTAGACACTATGTCGTTTAAAACTTTAACTTAAATACTTATATCATGCGTAAAGCTACACCCTAGATGATGCATTCTAATATCTCTAATATGCAGAGCAACCTAAGTAGTGTACATGCAGCAGATTGAGGTGATTAGATCGATACAGCAATGATGTCCAAAATCGCATGAAACTAGTCTCAAATGACTCCATTATGAGTTAATTTCAGAATATAAAACTTTTAATCAATGCATGGTGTTAGTTAAGAGTCATGCTCTCAGAAAAACTTACACCTATCAAAACTGTAGCAGAAAAAACAGAGATATCATTTGGTGAAAATTTATTTCGGGTACTTAACTATATCCCAAAGCTCATACTTGGTTGTAAGTAATATAGGTTATCTTCCATGTCCCATGAGTTTCATCAATTTTGCATTTTTTAAAATGCATTGTTACATGCAAAAACAACACAGGGGTAGACTGAATTTCCGGCACATACGCTACGCTATTAGAACTAGGTTTAGGCCTACCAAACGTTATCAAATTATTCAAACTCCTATCAACAGAAATACAATTAGTCTAGTTGTTAGAAAAGAAAGAATTCATGCATGCAGGTATATGTTGCAGATATATGCTCTTTAAAAAGACATGACTCAAGCAGACGTTTCAGACACATGCATGAGTTAAACCATACTTTTAACTAGTAAATGATCTTAGAATTAAACAAACAAGTATCTCAAATGAAAGGCACGAATATGTAGTTTCTAGAACAGAAAGGATTTCATGCATGCATGGTATATGTGTGAGATATATACTCTTTACAATGACATAACTCAGGCAGACAGTTTCAGACACATGCACTGAGTTAAACCATACTTTCAAATAAGTGAATGATCTCAGAATTAAACAAACAGGGACTCAAAGAAATCCACAGAAGTATATTTTTAGAACAAAGAATTTCTTCATTGGATATATACAAAGAAAGTTATGATCTGTTTAGTGGTAGTGTATCTTGCGGAAATTTCTGCACGAAATTTCTGTTTCAAGATAAATTGACATGCATGCCCTAAAATGTTACATGCAGACTAAATCCAAATTAACTAATAATTCAGTTCTAACATCCTTAATAACAACATGCAACTTAGAGTTTTACCTAGGGTTTTGACTTTGCCCCACTTCCTCCCAAAGCCCTCAACTACCTTCTTTCCACTCCTTCTTTTCAATGTTCTTGGAGATGAAGGCTTTTGGAAATCTTTATTTATTATTTTTTTTTAAGAGAAGAGGTGCTGGAGACGTTCAGAGGAGAGGAGGAGGTTTTAAGAGATTTTTCTTCTAAAAAATGGCAAAGTGAGAGTGGGGCACATATATATAAGCCCATGTGAAGAGAAATCTCATTTGCCAAAGTGAGGGTTTTATGCAAAATTTTCCCACTAACATGGCTGGATAAATAAATAACTATGTTATTAGAGAGTTTCACATTAGGTATTTATGATTTGGTTATCTCTAATCAAGGTTTAAAGCATGGTAACTTAGGTTTACATGCTAAGTTTGTATGCATGCTATGACTTATTTACTAGATCACAATATGAGAATTAGCTAAGTAAATTTCTCTACTAGAAGATTATATAAGATGCAATGAAGAAAAGCATCTACTAATTTATGGATTGGTGTCGGTAACGGTATCCGATCAATGAAAGGGAAAAATTTTTTTGGAATGTTACAGTTGGCGGCTTGGAGGAGCTGTCATTCTTCAGTTGTTGAGGCTGTTTGCCTCCTCTGTTCTTCAGATCCGCGTTGTAGCGGACTCCGTCTGTAGACTCCATCGCCTTAGCGAATTGCCGCGCAAGGCGTTGACGTTGCCTCTGGCGGGCTCTCTTTGAGAGAGTCACAATGCCCTCAATAGTAGAGGCGTCGGCAAGAACAGGTTTGACCTCGTTGGAGGTCGGTGGAACTTCACCCGACGCAACTTTGGCGTCAGCTGGGGTGAGAGCTTCGTTGGCGTTCTGAACTTCTTCAAACCAACGAACTTTTCTCCTGGAGGAGAACTTCTTGGACTTGTGGGGGGAGGTAGATCCGGACGAGGATGATAGATACTCCTCGAACTTGGCCCGATCGAATTCATATTCGACCTCCTCCTCGACCGAGATTGAGATCCGCGGCTGTGACGTGACGATCTCGGCAGCGAGATCGGTGGCTCCCACTATGGTCGCCAGATCGTTCGCGGGAAAAATCGTATTCTTCATTGACGTTATTGTTTTCTCAAGTAATAGCTTTTTGATTACAAAAGATCTGGTCTTTTTATAAGATCCGGTTACAACGAAATCAAAGAAAAAAATAAAAAAAGATTACAACTTTCCTTTCGAACGAATCACGAGCTCCTGTTTTACGGTCACTCGCTTTTGTGGGTTCTTTGCCAACGCCGGGGTTAATCCGTGGACCACCGCGTGATCTAAATCCGGTCGGATCTACACGATTTGACGGGTGTTATCTCACTAAGAAAATAACAGCGGGGGGTACTATTTCACTAAGGAAATAATAGCCTTTAGTTCTCGGGATCAAAGGCCAAGCTTTGATCCGGAGTATTACCTCGTGTAGATCTCAGATCTGATTTCTCTCTCTCGAACTCTTGCCTTTTGTGACGTGGATGCTCGCCAAGAACCAGATCTGAATATCTGAGTCTTCAAGTCTTCAAAACTCCAAGCTCAGTTCTCAATTCGGCAGAGTTTCGGCTTCAAAAGTTCCCCTCTTTCAAAATGAACCATGCCCTCTATTTATAGGCTCTCAGATCTGTGCCTTGGCACAGATCTGGGCCGGCCACCTATAGGTGGCTCGGCCACCGAGCCACCTAGAGGTGGCTCGGTTTTGGCCGAGTCCCCTAGGCCTTGTGGTTTTTGCCGTTTTTTCCGGTCTTGTGGTTGATTTAGACCCTGATTTGTTGATCTGAATCCTGATTTGGCAGTAAACCCGCTTTCGTTGTTGATCCGGACTCTGATTTGACAGTCCGAATCCCAATATGGCAGTAAATCCGCCTCGGTGTTTGAGTTCAAATCCGTTCTATGGTTGGATGACTAGTTGACTCACCGAACTGTTAGCTTGATTCCGCATGCGAATGGATGTATTCCATTGTTTGCGTGCGGTTCGTTAGCCTTGTTGCCTTGTTAATCCGCTTCCCGTCGTCGTCAGGCTCCTCCTCGTCGTCGTTCTTGGGGGTGAAGGTCGATCTCCAGCAGCTGATCCTCGCGATCCTCGACGACCCCGTCGTCAGCAGGGTCTTGTTGTAATGCTTAGTAAGGTATATTTTCCATTGTAAGGTAGATTTTTTTTTAATTTAGTAAAAGGCTCTTCAATCTTTTCAGACCAAATTTACAATTATTAGCTCAAGTGGTGTTAGTTTGTGCATTGTTCAAGTGTGTGTGTGTGTGTGTGTGTGTGTGTGTTTGTTATCGGTATAGCTGATATTTTGGTAGTTGGGTTGCGGTATTCGGTGGATCAGTCGGTGGCTGAGAGGTTGAAGAAGATCTATTGTGGTTAATGCCCGGTAAGTGCTTGTTGAAATTACTCAGTTGGGTAATAATAAGATTTTTAGCTAGTTTCGGATGATGAAGGAAGTTCAGATTGACTATTTGAAGTTTACAAGCATGAGCTTTTATGGTAGGAATGTAAATAACAGTTGAACTGAGCTGGATTTGTTCGAGTTTGAAACTTGGTTGCCTTAAAAATGTTAGGATGAGTCATGTCATGTGTTAGAGAGCTAGAAGAGCTCACCTCTAATCCTGATTATTTTGAGCTTGACAAACCTGATTTTGAGCCTATTGCTGCTATCGGTATCGAAATCTGGACATATTGATAGCTGGTGATGAGAAGATTGCCGAGTCGTATAGAGAGAAGTTATTCTGAGCTTGCTTCAAGAAATTGATGCAAACTGTTTGCTGAATGATATCTCAGAGAATAGTCAGTGTTGATATATAAAAAAATTTATCTCGTCTTGTGTTTTTCTGCAGGTTCTGCATGATGCATTTTTCAAATATCAGACTAAACCAAAGCTTACAACACATGGTGATTTGTATCAAGAAGGAAAAGAGTTTGAGGTATTCTTCTGATCCTGTATCTTCAGACTATTGTATTATGGGCTGTTGCAGTGGAGTTATTTATGGTTGACTTTGCTTCTTTTTATGTTCTTTTCTGTTGAAAATGTTCGCATTAGCAACCTATTTAAATTGCATGTTATCCTCTGTTAGGGAAAACTTACTAGAATCTTTATGTTCTTACTCAAATCAATTGTGATTTCTCTGTAAACTATATCACTATGAGGATGGTATTATTGCTGTTGCTCAACTGTGCAGATCTAAATATTTCTCAATCGAGTAACGCCTGTCACACTATAAGTACAGATTATGCAGTTGCATGGTTGCATTCATAATATCTAATTTTTGATGAATTTTAATTTCTACCTGCCCAACATAGTACTGTTTTTGTGAAAGCCAAAATTATGTGTCTTATGGCTGTAGATTAGGCATAATTTCTGTCATATATCTTTAGGTCTCAAGACATTTAGCATGCTTTTTGTTATACTTTTTTGTTGGAGAGACTTTGCAGCTTGATAATATTCGTGCTATTTACAGGTCAAACTGAGGGAAATGAAACCAGGAATGATGTCATATGAACTTAAAGAAGCTCTTGGCATGCCAGATGGTGCTCCTCCTCCTTGGCTTATTAATACGCAGGTTGTTTCTTACGCTATGATTTTATAGAAGCATTTCTTACTTTATTGTACCTGTAAGCATAACTAACAGTAATTAACTTTGTCAGAGATACGGTACTCCACCATCTTACCCACGTCTGAAAATACCAGGACTTAATGCTCCTATTCCTCCTGGAGCCAGCTTTGATTATCATCCTGGAGGTTGGGGAAAACCTCCTGTTGATGAAGTAAGTTCAGCGATACCTTTTTATTAACATTTTACAGGTAATACCTGAGGTTCTGGAAGAGAAGGAAGAGAGAGTTGCTCCTGGGACTCTGCTTGGAACAACTCACACGTACTCATATTGATCGCTAGCTCAGATTTTTAACATAAAGACTTCACTTATTTTCGAATGTTTGCAACTGTGATTATGAATTGGGCAAACTAGTTTTATTTATTTATTTATTTATTAATGCAGTTATCTGCTTACTGATAAAGACAAAGACAAAGCAGCTGCTGCTAAAAGGGTAAGAGGCCTTTTTATTTTTCATTGGGATTTCTTGAATTTGTGCATGATATTATCATGTATAAATTTATCACTCAAAATCTTCTCGACTGTTTTGCAGGTTGATCTTCTTCGAGGCTATGGATGATGTTTTGGCTGCCAAGTAAGGAGGAACCCTAACAAATAACTCGCTGGGTCCTATGAAACTTATGGATGTTTTCTAACTATTTCAAGATTTGATGTTCAGGTACGAAGAAGCACGCGAGGAGGAGAAGCTGAGGAACCAGAAGGAAGACTTCAGCGACATGGTTGCAGAGGAGAAGCTGGGGAACCAGCAGTTTTTTCTAAAATATATCTACTCTGGTCATCGAAAAGGCAACCTCATTTTGGATATTAGAGACAAGTATATAATATTAGATGCTTTTCATTGTGAGATATTGAGTACATTGTGTATGTATATGTTTTGTCTCTAAGTATTTTGAGTAAACATTGTGTATGAATATATAACATTGGATATTTAGTAAAGTATGAGAATATTTTGATTTCATTGTGAGATGTTAAGTACTTATTATGTGAGATGTGTATATAAACATTTGAAACCGTTTGGGCGAAAAATAAATAAAGAAGCCAAAATTTTAAAACTATTAAAATAAATAGCACAAACGGTTTCAACCGTTTGGGCGAAAAATTGCCCAAACGGTTTTAACCGTTTGGGCAAAAGTTAACCCAAACAGTTTCAACCGTTTGGGCTAAAATTTGGCCCAAACGGTTGAAACCGTTTGGGCAATTTTTCGCCCAAACGGTTTCAACCGTTTTGGCAATATCCCAAACGGTTGTAACCGTTTGGGATTTTGCCCAAACAGTTACAACCGTTTGGGCGACCGTTGGGGACAACTCGTCTCCAACGGCTTTAGTCCAAACGGGTGATTTGAATATCCCAAACGGTTGGAACCGTTTGAGAGGAGATTTTTCCAAACGGTTCCAACCGTTTGGACAAACTAGTTTTGTACTAGTGACTATTTTGTGCCTTGGACAAGAATGAATTCAATCAAGTGTCTACCTCTACATCAGCACATCAAATTTGGCGCACTCTTGTGGTAACACATGAAGGAACTAACAAAGTTAAAGAAACAAAAATTTCTGTTCTTGTTCATAGGTTTGAACTATTTAAGATGAAAGAGAATGAATCCATCACAGAGATATTCATAAGATTTGTAGATATTACTAACTCTTTGATTGGACTTGGTAAAGAATATACTCAAGTTGAGATGGTAAGAAAATCCTAAGGGCATTAACTCCGGAATGGGAAAAGAAGACTACACAATTAAAGAAGCCAACGACTTATCAACTCTCTTTGTAGAAAATCTTACTGAAAATTTGATGGCATATGAAGTTCAAATTGAAGATCGAAAGAAAGATGACGAACCAAAGAAGAAAAAGATACTTGCCTTCAATGCATCCTCCGACACCGATGAATCCGACGAAGATGATGAGGATATTGCAATTATTACTAAGAAATTCAAACGATTTCTTAAGAAAGGTAAGTTTAAGTCAAATAAATTTAAGAATACTAATGACTCTTCTTTGTGTTTCAATTGTAATAAGCCAGGTCATATAAAGAAGGATTGTCCACTACTCAAGTCAAAGTCAAAATCCACAAATTCTAATAATTTTAACAACTTCAAGAAGAAAAAGAAGAAGGTTATGGCGGTGACTTGGGATGATAGTCACGATTCATCTTCTTCCGATGAAGAAGAAGAAAGAGAAGAGTCAGCCCACATGTGTTTTATGGCACAAGATGAGGTAAATGATCCTTTAGACAATGAAGAACTTTTAGATGCTTTTAATAAACTTTATATTAAGTTTAAAGATTTAAATGCTAATTATAAAACATTGAAAAGTGAAAATGATTGATTGAACTTAGAATTAGTTTCATCAAATTCTTCACAAATTGAAGAATTAAAGGAATTGAATGACAAATTATTTTCTAAAAATAGAATATTAACTAAAAATAATATTTATCTTAATAATGTAATGTTATGAAAAATAAAGAGTATGGAATCACTTAAACTTAAATATGAAGAATTATTCTTAAATGTAAACAAGTTTAATAAAGGAAAAGAAGACTTGAATGATTTGTTATCTTTTCAAAAGTCTTCTAGTCAAAATTTTGGATTAGGACATGTTCATAAGAAGTATGAAAATATTTCTAATACAAATCATGCATCATCTTCTATGAATAACAATGTTAGAAAATTTCATGCACCATTAACAAGGAATATACATACTAAAAATAATTATGCTTTATCTATATTCATTTGGGTGCCTACAAATATTAGTATGCATGAAAGAAATACTTATATTTTAAATTTTAAGAAAAATATATGCTATTCCACTAATTACATTTGTGTTAACAAAGGGAAACCAAATTCCAAGTGGATTTGGTCTCCTAAGTGCTAATCCAATGGACCCAAAATAAAAAGGCTACCAATGCTTAAATGTCTATTTTTCAGGTACCTCAAAAAAAAAGTGGATACTAGATAGTGGATGTTCCAAACACATGATCGGAAACTCTCAAATGTTATCTATAATTCAATACAAAGAAGAAGACACAGTTACATTTGGAGATAAAAACAAAGGTCAAGTAATAGGTAACATTGAAAAACCTCTTATAGATGATGTTTTATTAGTAGATGGTTTAAAATATAATCTTCTAAGTATAAGTCAACTATGTGATAAGAATTTTAAAATCATATTTAAAAAAGATACATGTCTTATATATGATCATGATTTAACAAATATATTATTTAAAGGTTTTAGAAAGAAAGATATATATGTCATATCTATGAATTTTTATTCAAATGATCATTGTTTAGTTGCATCAATAGATGATTTTTTATTATGGCATAGAAGATGTGGACATATAAACTTAAAATATATTTCACGTATTTCTAAAAATAATTTAGTAAATAATTTACCTAACATTGTAAATAAGAAAGATCATTTTTGTGATGCATGTAAATAAGGAAAAATGTATAAATTAACTTTTAAATCTAAAGATGTTGTTTCTACAAGTAGACCATTAGAGTTATTACATATGGATCTATTTGGTCCTTCTAGAATTGAATCTTTAAATACAAGTAGATATGCATTTGTAATTGTTGATGATTATTCTAGATTTACATGGGTTATGTTTTTAAAACACAAAAATAATGCTTTTGATGAGTTTTCTATATTTTGTAAAAAGATATAAAATCAAAAATCCACTACTATTGTCACAATTAGAAGTGATCATGGTGGTGAGTTTGAAAATGAATTATTTACTAATTTTTGTAATAAAAATGGTATTTCACATGAATTTCATTTTCTTACACTCCACAACAAAATGAAGTTGTTGAAAGAAAAATAGAACTTTACAAGAATGTGCTAGGACTATGTTAGTTGAGTCTAACCTACCTAAATATTTTTTGGGCAGAAGCATTTAATACTGCTTGTTATGTTCAAAATAGAATTTTATTAAGATCTATATTAAATTAAACAAGTTTTTAATTATTTTACAATCGAATTCCTAAAGTTTCTTATTTTAAAGTATTTGGTTGTAAATGTTATATATTATATACAAAAGATAATTTAGATAAATTTGATTCTAAATCAAATGAAGGTACTTTTGTAGGTTATTCGATGTATAGTAAAGCTTATAGAATTTTTTATAAGAAGACTTTTACAATAGAAGAATTCTTGCATGTTTCATTTGATGAATCTAATTCAAATTCTAAAAATAATGATAATAATCATGATGATGATGAAATTGTTAATCAACCACCCTCTATAGTTGATGACAATTCTATTGATACTAATGTTTTACCTAAAGTATTTGTAAATGTTAGAAATCATTCACGTGATTTAATCATAGGTGATATTTCTCGTGGTGTACAAACTAGATCAAGATTAAACTTATTTACACATGTTGCTTTTGTTTCAACAATAGAACCTAAAAATATTAAAGAAGCATGTATAGATGATTTTTAGATAATAGCCATGCAAGAGGAACTCAATCAATTTAGAAGAAATAACATTTAGGATCTTGTACCTAGACCACAAGATAAATCCATTATAGGAACCAAATGAATATTTTGAAATAAATTGGATGAATCTGGGCAAGTTGTTAGAAACCAAGCCAGATTGGTTGCACAAGGTTATAATCAAGAAGAAGGTATTAATTATGATGAAACTTATGCATCAGTTGATCGTTTAGAATCTATAAGAATTTTACTTGCATTTGCATGTTTTATGGATTTTAAATTATATCAAATGGATATTAAAAGCGTATTTTTAAATGGTTTTATTAAAGATAAAGTTTTTGTAGAACAACCTTCTGGTTTTGAAAATGAAAGTTTTTCAAACCCTGTTTTCAAACTTAAAAAAGCTTTATATGGTCTTAAACAAGTACCCCATGCTTGGTATGATAGATTAAAAAACTTTTTTTAACTTCCGGATTTAAAATTGGTAAAGTTGATTCTATACTAATTATAAAGAAAATAAATAAAGATATGGAATAAGATATACCGCTTTTCTCTAAAATTTTAAGACTACACTTACACAATTTATGTGTATGTTTCTTTTATCAGTCCGATTTCCTTCTACCACCTTTGCTGCTGATGTGGTTACTGGCCGGAGTAGCGTGACCCACTCTTATTACGAGGGGATCCCGTTAGTTGAATCATATCCCCAGTTCAAATCTGGTTATAGCGAAAATGCTAGAGAATTAATCCAGTGAGGTAGTTGTCGTGTTCTACGACGATTAATCACAGATGCGACCTTGATTTCGGAGCAAGACTCAAACCAATGTATAAGCAAGACTCAAACCAATGTATATTATTAATTCAAATATATGTAGATGATATAATATTTGGTTCTACTAATAATGATCTTTGTCAAAAGTTTGCTAAGTCTATGCAGGATGAATTTGAAATGAGTCACATGAGTGAACTCAATTTCTTCCTTGGACTACAAATCAAACAATTG